CTTTTCCTAAAACTCCTTGCCCATTTTAATGTCCTGAAGCACTTATCTATCATGTTTTATTTTAGTAGTTTGATAGTTTTAGGTTATACATTTAAATCCTTAATTAATTTTAGTTGATTTTTGTAACTGGTGAGATAGAAAGGGGTCTGTTTTCATCCTTCTATGTGTGTATGTCTAATACACTTAGCACCATTTATTGAAATAGACACTTTGCAAAGAAAATATACAAATGGACAACAGGTACATGAAAAATACTCAACATCATTAGTCATCAGATAAATGCAAAATGCAAATCAAAACCACAATGAGATATCATCTCATTCCAGCAAGAATGGCTACTATTAAAAAGACAAAAAATAAGTGCTGGTGAGAAGGTGGAGAAAAGGAAAATACTCACACAGTTGGTGAGAATGTAAATTATTATGGCTATTATGGAGACAAATATGGAGATTCCTCAAAAAATTAAGAACTACCATATGACTTAGCAACACTACTACAGGAGAGAGAGGGGTGGGGGAGGTAGACAGATAAACTGTATATAAAAAGAAAATGAAATCAGCATGGTGAACCTATTGTAAATCTTTTATCTGTCTGTTGAGATGTCATCTTCTATAACACAAGAGACCTGATAGCCATCTCTTTGGGAGGTCATTAAGAAAGATAGAGCCCATGTCTGTCAGACTCTGTATGAAGGAAGGATTACCTTCCTTAGCATCATGTAACTAACACAGATGTCCTAATCACACTACTTATACACAAAGTCATGCAGTACATTTCTTTTAGCACTCCCTGCCTCTTATTTCAATGGTGTTGGGCTTTGTTCATTTCATGTGTCCCCCTGACTGTGGTGGCATGAATAAAATTTGTCTTGCTTTTTCATCATTGGAACAAAATACCCAACATACTGAACATAAAGGAAGAGAAATTTATTCTGATTCGCAGTTTTGGTGGGTTCAGTCCATGATTGGTCAGCTCCAAGGGAAAAACAGCATGATGGGAGGGCCTGGTACAGAAAAACTGTGAACATGATAGCAGCCAGGAAGCATAAGAAAGAAGCGGGGGGGGGTCCAGGAACAAGAACATACCCTTCCAAGTCAGCCCTCAGCGACTTGCCTTTTCTGACCAGGCACCATCTCCAAATGTGAGACTTCTGGGGACGACTTTAGATCTAAACCATAACACCAACTTTAACAAATGTATGGCTATGTTTCTTCATGATACCATTGTTATGGTTTGTGCCTAAATATCCCCCTAAAGCCTCATGTACTCATAGGTGGAGCTTCTTAGAGGTGGTTGGATCTGGAGTATGTGATGCTGGGATCAAGTGTGTGATGCTAGGATCAAGGATGTGTGGTTACTAAATTAGTCCACTGATTGGCTTCACATCTTTCTGGGTGTGGGTAATGGGAAAGCTCTCACTCAGTGTGAGTGCTACCTGTCCTAAAGGTGGGGAGCCTGTGCAGAATATAACAGATAGAAAGAGGCCTACTGGAGTTGCTTGCTACTTGTTGCTTTTGCTGCCTTCTGCCTGCCATGAACAGTTTCTCCTCTGTGAAGGCCCTCCTCCATGCTACCCTGCCTTGGAGCCAGCCAACTATGAATTGAAGCCTCTACAAACTGTGAGCTACAATAAACCTTTCCTCTTTTGACTATGGATGTCAGATATTTTGTCTCAGCAATGAGAAAAGTAAATGAGACAGACTTTGGTACCAGAGAAGTGATGTACCTGACCATGTGGTTCAGGAATCTTTGTAACTGGCTTGTGGTAAGAGTTTGGAAAGATTTGGAGATGTTGGCTGAAGAAGCCCTGGAATGCCTTAAGTTGTGCTTGATGGGAGATTCTGGTTAGAGCTCAGACCAGCATGCTGAAAAGAATGCTCCCAGTAAAGGCCAGGTTTGGGAGGTTTCTTCTAAAAAGAAGGACTACATTGGTGTTTGGACCCCACACCGTGTGTGTTTTGCCTTGGCAGAAAGTTTGTCTGTATTTTGCTCATGTCCAGAGACTATGCTT